TGTATATAAATGTATATATAAATAAAAATAAACACAAATGCATGCCAGACTGATTTGAAGAAATAGTGCATCACATGCTAAACTGTTTTCACTGCTACTACAGTATATCAATGTGTGAAATATCACATTTGCATTATATCAACATGAGAGAGAGAGAGACTAAACCCGAGAGACAGCACGCTGTGTTAAGAAAAATGTTTCACTTGGATTTGTTCAAATAAATCAATTCATCTTTCATGACTGATTCATACATACATTCACTCAGCTGACAGGTATTCACACACATCTAGCTGGGATAATACACAACTGAGTCACTTAGATAGATGGATAGAACGATGGATGGATGGATGGATGGAAGTATGGATGGATGGATGGATGGATGGATGGATGGATGGATGGATGGATGGATGGATGGATGGATGGATGGATGGATAGATGGATAGATAGATAGATAGATGATGGATGGATGGATGGATGGATGGATGGATGGATGGATGGATGGATGGATGGATGGATGGATGGATGGATGGATGGATGGATGGATGGATAGATAGATAGATAGATAGATAGATAGATAGATAGATAGATAGATAGATAGATAGATAGATAGATAGATAGATAGAATAGGGAATGTTTGCGAATTAGAGCTTACCTGAATCTTACAGTTGACGAAGAGTTCTTCCACCGTCTTCCTGTCCCGCTCGTGAAGGCCTGCATGATGCATCCCGATCCCGAACGCCAGGGTCAGCTTCAGGTTCGACTCTCTGATGGTGGCGATGATGTCAGTCATCTAAAAAAACACATTAGACATTAGAAAAGCTGGCTGCTTGACCACTCTTCACAGGATAGAGCATACAGTTGAAATGATGTTTAACAGATTCAGGAAATTTTCACAGTTTGTCTGATAATATTTTTTCTTCTGGAGAAGCCTTGTTTGTTTTATTTCAGCTAGAATAAAAGCAGTTCTTAATTGTTTTTAAGCAATTTAAGCTCAATATTATTAGCCCCCTTAAGCAATATTTCTTTTGGATTGTCTCCAGAACAAACAACTGCTATACAATGGCCTGCCTAATTACCCGAACTTAACCTTATTAAGCTAATTAAGCCTTTAAATGTCACTTTAAGCTGAATTCTAGTCTAATTCGAGTATCTAGTCTAATATTCTGTGCTGTCATTATGACACAGTAAAAATAAATTAGTGATTAGAGATGAGTTATTAAAGCTGTCAAGTTTAGAAATGTGCTGAAAACAAATCTGCTCTCCGTTAAACAGAAATTGGGGAAAAAATATACAGGGGGCAAATAAGTCTGCCTTCAACTGTACATATAAAAAAACAGAAAGAAAAGAGATGGAAATGTCGGGACAGGGAAGAGTGGGAATAAATGGAGGGAGATTAGGAAGCGCTGTTGGATGGACAGCTAAAGGCAGCCGGCTGTCAGTCAAACAGCAGGGACTCGGGCCGTTACACGCTCCAGTGCAGGGAAGCAGCGGGACGTCCCGTATATCACTGGAACACACAGCCTGAATGCTGGAGACATCAGCACATGCGGAGAACCACAGGCCAGACCAAAATCAAAACGCTCTCATTATTTACTCATCCTCACGTTGCTTCAAAACAGCATTTATATGTAGAACACATTTCTGCACATAACAGTGTTAATAACTAATTTCTAATCACTGATTTCTTTTATCTTTGCCATGACGACAGCACATAATATTTGACTAGATAATCTTCAAGACACTAGTATTCAGCTCACATTTAAAAAGCTATAGCTTAATAAGGTTAAGTTCGGGTAATAAGGCAGGCCATTATATAACAGTGGTTTGTTCTGTAGATAATCCAAAACTAGTATTGCTTAAGAGTTTCAAACTTTTTTGAAAACATTGACAGAAACATTTTGACAGGGCTGCATTATACAAGCCTACTCAAAAAACCAAGAAAGGGTTTCGCTATTTTGGTAAAACTTAATTTTCTTTATGGCAATGATGCCAATTACATTGAAATGCTTATTTGTCAGTTTACACAAGTAGCATGAATGAAAATCACATGCATGGAAACTCAGAATTCATATTAATTTAGTTTGATTTTAGTAGGGATGCATCAAATTTTGACCTCTAAAAATGATCAGCTAAAGGTGGCATTTTCGGTTTTGGGTCAAACTTCAAAATAGCTTAAAATCCCACTGTATTATATTTGTTCATGCATGAACCGTACATAATCAGAATTGCGAAGTCCACTTTAAATAATGCTTTTGGAAATTTATATTCATGTCATATTAAAGGATCGTGATAATAACATAATATTTTACTAGATATTTTTCAAAATGCTTATATTCAGCTTAAAGTGAGATTTAAAGGCTTAACTAGCTTAATAAGGTTAAGTTCGGGTAATTAGGCGAGCCATTTTATAACAGTGGTTTGTTCTGTAGACCACTGAAACAACTATTGTGTAAGAGGGCTAATCACATTGACCTTATAACTGTTTTTATTAAATTAAGAACTGCTTTTATTCTAGCCGATATAAAACAAATGAGACTTTCTCCAGAAGAAAAAAATATTCCTGAAATCTGAAAATAAATATATTTACAAAAATAAAAAATAAAAAAAAATCACAGAAGGGCGAATAATTTTGACCTAATCTATGCATATACACACACATACATCCGTAAACACAAATACATGCATTTATTTAAGAAATAGTTTTCTTTTTATATTTATAAATTAAAATATGTATATCTAATACAAATTATATACAAAAATAAATAAATATATATATAATATTTTAATAGTTTTTATTTACATACACAAAATGTATACATGCAATTAATCGCGATTAATCTTTTGACAGCACTAGCAACAATCAATCAAATAAAAGCACCACGATTACATATAAATTATTATAATCATCAACATTTCAGTAATAAACAAACATTCAAATAAATATTAAATAAATTACATTATTTTATTATTATTATTGGCGGTTCATTCCACTGTGGTGACCCCAGATTAATAAAGGACTAAGAAGAAAATGAATGAGTTATTATTGTTATTATTATTATTATTATATTATAAATTATAATGAACTATTATCAAAACATTTTTATTTATTTATTTATTTTTTGCAATATGCTAATGGTCTAATCCAATTTAATAAATTATGCTAAGCTAAACTAAAAAATGCTTTACCAGACACAATGGATTAAAAAAAGGTAAAACCAAATTGTTGAATTCTGGCAGAAGATATAGGATCCGGACGGCACGATCGACTCACAGCAAAAAGGTCGCTGGTCCGAGTCCCGGCTGGGCCAGTTGGTGTTTCAGTGTGGAGTTTGCAAGTTCTCCCCGTGTTGGCGCGGGTTTCCTCCGGGTGCTCCGGTTTCCCCCCGTTAATCTAATTGATTAACTAAACTGTCCAAAGTGTATGTGTATGATTGTGAGTGTGTATGGATGTTTCCCAGTACTGGGTTGCAGCTAGAAGGGCATCCGCTGCGTAAAACATAAGCTGAATAAGTTGGTGGTTCATTCCGCTGTGGCGACCCCTGATTAATGAAGGGACTAAGCGGAAGGAAAATTAATGAATGAGATTTAACAAATTGAAAATAATAAATAATGAGTGAATTATGATGCTTTAATTGGGTGAACTACTCTTTCAATCCTCATGTCTCTGCTCCACACACATATGCAGAAGTCATAGCGTATTCTCTGCATGTGTTAATGTGCTTTATTGGCTCTTTAACAGGGCAGACTGAGGCTGTGCTCATAAAACACATGCTTTATGGGCCTGCAGATCAGTGTAATAGAAAAATACAGCACTATCATCAGGAGCCGCCTCATAAACACAAGACAGACAGCCAAAGCCAATGTGTGCTTTACTCATACACACATCCATTAAATCAACAGCTCGCCAAAGACATTTCACTTCTGGCTCAGCTATCACTCTAAAAATCGCACTAAGAGAGATAATTACGGTGGCTTAAGTTTAAGAAAACATGTGCTTACTACAAAACACTAACAAACTGAGAAAATATCTTTAACAATTTCACAACACACACACACATGCATATTCGCAAAACACATGCAAATAAGCAAACGAGCTGCAGATAGTGAAAAAAAGATTTGTTGAAATTGTTGTAAATTTATTATTTATTTATTAATTTATTAAATTAAATTATCTAAGTAAAAGACCTGATAAATCACATCAGTATTCACAGCCTTTGCTCAATGCTTTGTTGATGCACTTTTGGCAGCGATTACAGCCTCAAGTCTTGTTGAATATGATGCTACAAGCTTGGCACACCTGTCTTTGGGTATTTCTACCCGTTCCTCTTTGCAGCACCTCTCAAGCTCTATCAGGTTGGATGGGAAGCGACAGTGTACAGCCATTTTTAGATCTCTCTGTTCAATAGGATTTAGGTCTGGGCTCTGGCTGGGCCACCAAGGACATTCAACAAGTTGTTGTGAAGCCACTCCATTGATATTTTGGCAGTGTGCTTTGGGTTATTGTCCTGCTAGAAGATGAAGCGTCGCCCCAGTCTGAGGTAGAGAGCACTCTTGTGCAGGTCTTCATTCAGGATGTCTCTGTACATCGCTGCATTCATCTTTCCCTCTATCCTGACTAGTCTTCCAGTTCCTGCTGCTGAAACACATCCCCACAGCATGATGCCAACACCACCATGCTTCACTGTAGGGATGCTGTTAGCCTGCTGATGAGCGCCGCCTGCTGTTCTCCAAACGTAACGCCTGGAGTTCACTCCAAACTGTTCAGTTTGAGTCTCATCAGAGCAGAGAGTTTAGTTTCTGATGCTCTGAGAGTCCTTCAGATGCCTTTTGGCAAACTCCAGGCGGGGAGTGTCTTCCGTCTGGCCACTCTACCATACAGATGCCTGATTGGTGGATTGCTGCACAGATGGTTGTCCTTCTGTAAGGTTCTCCTCTCTCCACAGAAGAACGCTGGCGCTTAGACAGAGTGAGCATCGGGTTATTGATCACCTCCCTGATTAAGGCTCTTCTCCCTGATCACTCAGCTTAGATGGCCGGCCAGCTCTAGGAAGAGTCCTGGTGGTCAAACATCTTCCACTTACGGATGATGGAGGCCGCTGTGCTCAATGGAACTTTCAGAGCAGCAGAAATGTTTCTGTAATCTTCCCCAGCCTTGTGCCTCCAGACAATCCTGTCTTGGAGGTCTACAGACAGTTCCTTTGTCTTCATGCTTGGTTTGTGCTTTGACATGCACTGTCAACCCTGGGCCCTTATATAGACAGGTGTAGCCTTTTCAGATCATGTCCATCAGCTGAGTTGAGCACAGGTGAACTCCAATAAAGCAGAAACATGATGATCAGAGGAAACAGAAAGTACCTGATCTCCATTTAAAGCTTCATGCCAAAGGCTGTGAGTACTGATGTACATGTGATTTTACAGGTTTCAAAAACTCTGTGTTCACATTGTCATTATGGGGGATTGTGTGTAGAATGTTGAGGAAATCAATTCATTTAATCCATGCTGGAATAAGGCTGTAGCATAAACAAATGTGGAAAAAGTCAAGCGCTATCAGTACTCTCCGGATGCACCCTAAATGATTTATTAAGGGGCTCATCATCTGGACTTATCTCCGAGCTCTGCAGTTTGCCGATATGAATGTGTGTTTATGTTTTTCTGAAGTATTTCTGATGTAACCAATCACGCGTGAGCTGTTAAAGGAATTATCACCTCCGTAAGGCTGCAATTTTTACGTGATTACTTTGTGATTGGAAAGACGAAAGCATTCCTTTTTTTCCGCCGCCCAGCTCTCTAATCGAGAGCTTTGAAAATATTAGCAGACATCTGCGACAGGGCGAGCAGAAGAGAACGAAAAAAAAAGTGTTTGTTCACATCTTGAAATGATCCAAAGGCATGGAGTGGAACGGAAAGAGGAATTTAATGAGAGATGACACAGGCTTTTGCACTAGAAGCTGCGCTGAGCCGTACTGTAATCACCGTTAAACAGATACTGAGCTTCTTCAGCAAGAGAAGAGGAATAAAACACACAGGAGAAACTCACAATGGAACGTACTGATGTTAAAAATTACAAGCATGATCTTTAAAGGAACAAAAATATTCTCATTTACGTCTCTCCTACAGTTAAACAATTGAGCTTTACCATTTTTGAACCCATTAAGGCCAGTGTTTCCCAACCATGTTCCTGGAGGCACACCAACAATACATATTTCTGATGTCTCCCTTATCTGACCCATTAACTTCAGGTTTTGGAGTCTCTTCTAACATTCTGATGAGTTGATTCTGGAGTGTTTGATTAGGTGTTTAATTATTATTACAATTATTATTACTATTATTATTAATCTTTTTGGATGGAAAGAGAAAAGCAAAAGGCATTCTCTTTGGGAAAAAGTTATTGGGATATTGTGAGAGAAATGCATGTGCTGAAGCATTATTTTGGACAAAAAGTAATGAGGGAGTTGAGGATGATACTGTATCTGACCTCTCTCTCGTCCTGGTGGAGCCACTGTTTGGGGTCATCTTCAGTAGCCAGGAAGGCAATGAGGTCGAGAGCTGTGAGCCGCGTCTGCCGACGGGACGACACAAATATCAGGACGGGTTTGGCAGGAGAATGGGTACGGATTGCTGCAGGACAGAAGAAACAGAGAGTGAAAAATTAAATAAGTAAATAAGTAAGTAAGTAAGTAAGTAAGTAAGTAAGTAAGTAAGTAAGTAAGTAAGTAAGTAAATAAATAAATAAATAAATAAATAAACAAATAAATAAAATTTTATAAAAATAAAATAAGTAAATAATAAAAATAAAATAGATAAATACTTAATTAAATTATAAAAATTAAATTAAATGAATAAATAATAAAACAAATAATAAAATAAAATAAATAAATATTAAAAATAAAAAATAAATAAAATACAAAAATAAAAATATTAAAAACAATATAAATAATCAAATAAAATAAATAATACAAATAAAACACAGATGTAAATAATAAAATTAATAGTAAAAATAAAATACAAAAATGTAAATAATAATAAATAATAAAAAATGTATTAAATTAATTGAATAAATAAATAAATAGTAAAAATAATATACATAAATAAATTATAAAAATAAAATAAAATACATGAATACAAAATAAATAAATAAATAAAAGTAAATAAATAAATATAAACAAATAAATATATAAATAAATCAAAATAAACAAACAAATAAATAAATAAATAAATATAATAGTTTTTTTTGAAAACGTTTCTTTTAGTTTGGCTGGAATAAAAGCAATTTTATTATTATTATTATTATTATTTTTATTTAAGGTCAATATTATTAGCCCCCTTTTTTGATTGGTTACTTTGTCCAAATGACTTGCCTAAGTTAACGAAATAATCTAGTTAAGCCTCTTAATGTCACTTTAAGCTGAATACTACAGCATCTTGCAAAATAACTAGAAGTTATTAGAAATGAGTCATAAAACTATTATGTTTACAAATGTGTTGTCTCCTTTAATCAGCACATGAAAATATTAGAAAACATTAAAAGTGGATCAAAAAAATTGTCCTAAAACAAGAACGTGTGTTATTTAATAGCATTAACTCAACTGTGAAGTATGCTTTGATCACTTTAAATGCTCACTACCCTTTATTATAGCACACATGAAATTGTAGAGCAAGGTACGATCAAAGTTACACAAATCTATTGCATTTCGAAAGCAAACCTGCATATTACTCCAGCATTATACCTTGGAATACTGGTTTGTTCATGGTGGCCATTCTAGGGCAATAATGCTGCCCCGGAAAGCCCTGAATATGAACCTCCAATGGCACCGGGCGAACAGAGGGCCGGAAATTAAACAGTCCCACCTGAAAGACAGACAGACAGGAGATAAATAAGGCCGGGCTCACAAAAACAGGGCCAGAAAGTGAGAAAGACTGTAATAAAGCGAGAGATGGAGTGCCCAGCTGGCTGTGTGCCTGACAGAGTGGCCCATCTGGGGGTAATTACAGCCCGTCATTGTCCCCTGTCCCACAACCGCGCTCTCACACAAGTGGCCCGGACCTGTGTGCGTGTGTGCACATATTTAAAGGGCCGGATAATGGATCGGGCAGCTAGGGACGCGCCTCAGTCCAAACAGCGCACGTCAGATTTATGGAGACCCCCAGCCCTTGCTTTCCCCGTCTGTCTAGTAGGGTGACATTTCAGCAATAGTAAAACAACGTTTACATAACCACCGATGCTGCTACACGCTGAGAGAGAGAGAGGGCTGCTGGTTATTTATAGACCCTTGTGAGCACACATACGCATATAGGACGACTGACAGAACGTTCGCTCGGCCGTCTGTAATGGAAACGGGATGATAATGACGCTATGGTTAATACAGTGGTACAGATAATATGCTTATTCTACTGGTTTCAGACGTAATCATCACAGGGGAAAGTGAAGCATGATTCCACTGAAAGCAGAGCCATCTATGATGCACAACTCAACTTAAAAAAGCTAATACAGCATTTGGGGACCAAGAATTCTTGCTTGATTTGAACTGAAGGAATTGTTATTAAATCATAGCAAACTCGAGAAGAGGAAGGAGAATTGAACCTAAAACTATACAATAATATATATATATATATATATATAAATTGCTACTGTATCTATCTGTCCACCCATCCGTCCACCCATGCATCCATCCATTCATTCATCTGACTGTATGTCCATCAATCTATCCATCCATCTGTCTGTCCGTCCGTCCGTCCTTCCATCTATCGATCTACCTACCCACCTATCTATCTATCTATCTATCCATCCATCCATCCATCCATCTATCTATCTATCTATCTATCTATCTATCTATCTATCTATCTATCTATCTATCTATCTATCTATCTATCTATCTATCTATCTATCTATCTATCTATCTATCTACCAACCAGGAACAAAAAGGGCTGCATTGGACAGTTACAAAAAATTACATATCATAACCTAGACACGCACTTATAAATAATATATGAAGAGTTCAGATGCAAAAACCTCTAAGTGCCGTCTAAAATTTCCATTGAATTTTTTTTTTTTCTCAGCCTCTTTTGTTTATGTTGAGATATTAAACTTTAAAGACCAGATAAAGGACTTATTCTTTGCCACAAAACTAATGTTACTGAACATACACACAGGAACATGATAAAATGCTCATTTTACAGAAAAATCTCAGATGGCATTTAGAGATTTTTGCGTCTAAACTCTTCATATTAATATAATATAATATTATGTATATATATATATATATATATATATATATATATATATATATATATATATATATATATATATATACATATATATATAAATACAGGTTGTATATCGCAGTGGACTTTCTAACCTGTCCGATGCCCAGCCAGTCGGCTAGATCTCGTGCATTAGCCAGCGCGGTGGACAGTCCTACTACTCTGACCGTTTTTGAGGTGTGCGATGAAATAAAGTTGGTTCTGGACACAATGACTTCAAGAACCGGCCCTCG